CAAGGTTAATATCTACATATACTCGGGTATATGTGCACCTTTCCACCAGCACTCCTATTGGGCCCTTTGCTGATAATACCCGTCTGTACATTGGATGTATGTACTGTTAACAATCTCTTCTTATACAAAGCTTGCATTACTTCTATACTGATGTTTAGCTATATGCATATTGGTAATGTTATTTGCTTCCAACTACTTTGTTAAGATCACTGAGTAATATTCCAAGGAAAGGAATCCCCTTATAGAGGCCCTGTACTGGGTGGAGGCACTGCCGACTTTATCATCTTATGCTTACCAAAGTTTTGATTCTCTCATTTACGTACAGGCGGGGCCCCCGACAGGGGACCCGAGCACACAGGGGGATCTGAACAGCAGGGGAATCGGTGTGGAGGGGGGGCAATTAGAGAACGATGCCCTGTGTCTGTGTCTCTCCCTGCAGCAGCTGAAAGCAGGTATCTCTTCCTCCTGCTGACTTTTAGCTGCTGCAGAGAGAGACACAGACACAGGGCATTGTTCTTTAATTGCCCTCCTCTGCACCGATCCCTCTCTCTGTACTGCTGATATCTGATTCCCCCCTGTGTGCCCGGGCCTCCTTCCGCTGTGCTGCTGACTTCCCTGTCCCGCCAGCTGCTGTGGGTACACAGGATGGAAAGCAGTGAATTAGGGCAGTAAATATGTTATTACTTCCTTTTCTCAATGGACAGAGTGAGTGTTCGTTACTGATCCCTCACTCTGTTTATTCATAACTGAAGCATAGTAAACTGTGTTTACTAAGTAGATTGTAAATTGTAAAAAAAAAATAATTTAAAAAAAATATAAAAATTAATAATAAAAAAAGTTTTAAAAACTTAACAGGTTATTTACATGGGTTCTCTGGCCCATATAGTGTGAATGAGCAGTTTGTTTGTGCGTCTGGAGCCGTCCTTTACTCTGTAAGGATGCAGTGCCTCTATGAACCTCTATGAACAGAGCTGCAGGTCCTACTTGATAAATGGGTAGGTATGGGTGAGTGGCCCCAAATACACATTTGACAGTGTTTGGAGGCCATACACTTGCACCCGTGATTTCTAACAGCAGCCCTGGCTACAGTTTTAGCGTAATATCCAGTTTGGGGAGGGCCATTTCTCATACCCCCCCAAAGAGAGCTACACTATAATTGTATGTGTTTATGGTTGCATCAGTAAGATTAATGCATGTATACTCTTTACAGGTACTTGCCCCAGTGCTTTGGTCATTTACATAGCACACTAAATGTCTTATGAAGAGTATAATTAGCTAATAAATTGGCACATCCACCTTCAAGGATGGGTAACTGGACTAGTTTCTGAAAGTGGTTGTTGTGTGGCTATATTCCTGATCAACTGCCTACTGTACCTGTACAAGTTTGCATATCATGGAAGTTAGAATTAAGCCAGAAGTCCTTATCTTCATACTTGTCAAGGAAAAAGCTAGAGTCTTCATGACAGCTATGCAACTAGTGTTTTAGAAGTCATCAGTGGCAGCCTCTGTGTTTTTTAGGGACTTATGATTTCTGGAGTGACTTGAATCATTGCAGCAATACTGCGAAAATCTATTAAGTTAACCTTTTATTTGACTTTTGTAAACAGTTCAACTGCAGCCAGCTTTTGTCATATAAGCATATAAGACTTTGCCGTTTGTCCTCCTTTTCATGCTGCACAGTGTGTGGGCAAAGTGGAAGAAACGTAGAGATAAGGTAATGCATTGACTAGTAAATATGTACAACTGAGATTAGACTTATTGTATATTGAGATCAAATTGCAGTACAAAAATGAAAGTTAGACCAACTCAGCAATGTAAATTTATAGTGATTGTTTTTAACTGGAGTTTACTTTTAACATGCACTCTACACAAAGTAGGATACTACACACATTATAAGAAAACTAACCAATTATTTTAAATTTTTAGCTACAAGAAGGCTTTGGATGGGATCCCTTCAAACATCTATTTGCAGAATACCAGAATCTGTCAAATGTCAGTGGAAACAATACAGATAAGATGAATCTCTGGGCGGACAAGTTCTCTCAAGCTGTCAATAAGAACTTGGCTCCATTCTTCAAGTCCTGGGGGTGGCCCATTGAGGAGAATATCAGCCAGAAGTTATCCACATTGCCTATGTGGAAGGAAGATCCTATGAAGAAGTACACCAGTTGTTCATAGGGCATTTACAGAATCCACCCTGTACCCTATGGTAATGAGCGAAAATATAAAACAAACCACACCCAGATATTATTCTATTTGTTGGAAATATTGAATGGCTTAAACATTCTGTATAATCTTGTATTTCAATATTTACCCCACAGTTGTATTATTAAGAATGTTTGAAGTTCCTCTATGCACTTTTAAAAACACTTATAAACACAAACGCTTCTAAACGTGCATAAACGTGGTATGCAAACGCGGCTAAACTGACATTTTTAGGGCTCATGTACACGGGGCATTTGGAAAACTCTTCTGAATGATGGAAACTGACTGCTGGAAAACGTAGGTTGAAAAATGTCAGTTTAGCCGAGTTTGCATACCGCGTTTATGCACACTTGCGTTCAGAAGCGTTTTTAAAAGTTAACCTCAGGAGACCTTCCCAAATGCCCAGAATGCACTGAAAAATAGTAAATAATTAACTATTTCAGATGTTTTGAGAGAAATAGAGAGAGCAGAAGCAGAGAGAGAGCAGTGTGTGTTGAGATGACCTGTCTTTTCTGGTTTTATTCACTATGGATCCCATCATGAGTATAATGCAGCATGTTCTACCATTATTTCCTTCATGCAAAACCTGCAACTGATTGCGCTGGTGTACTAGGTCCACTTGAATACATGGAAAACACTTTGCAGGCATTTCTGATGATGAAAAAAGGCTCTGGACAGCATCTGGATATGGAATAATTAAAAAAACGCTTTTAAACGCAAATGCTTATAAATGCGGTTAACCGTGTTTACAAGCGTTTATACGCGTTTACACACGTTCTTGCAGTTGGCAGTTGAAAAGCTGGTAAAATCTACTCCTGAACACAAGTGTGGTGTGTCAAAAAAAAAAAAGACTGTAAACGACTATGTGTACATGGACACATAGGAAAACATTAGGGAGAGTTCAGGGGCTGCTGAAAAAAAAGCTGAACGTCAGTTTAGCAGCTGCAGTGTACATGAGTCCTTAACCTACGTTTTCCAGATGTCAGTTTCCATCGTTCGTAAGAGTTTTCCAAACGCTCCGTGTACATGAGCCCTAAAGCTGCAGTTATAGATGTAATAGCCTGACTCCAGGAATACCATGATTTAAATAGTTTGTTTGGGCAAAGATGGTCCAAACAAATTATTTTCAATGCAGCAGCTGTTAGTACTGCACACACTGTATGTCTCATCAGCTACACACAGTAGTGTTCTGGTGGCGGTATGGGGACTTCTTGTTTGCTGCTGGAACAAAATCCAGTCAGGTTGAGCGCTGCTCAGCCATTCATAGGAAACCTTGCATTTTTATGAATGAATGCAAGGCTTCCTGTGATTGATAGAGGTGGGTGGGTGACATCGCAATCTGCACCTCAGCCAATTAGAGGAAGCCTTGTATTAATTGCTAGAAATATTCTTCTATGAATGGCTAAGCAGTGCACATCACAGTACATACAGTTTATACAGTGCTGACAGCCATTGAGTAGTAAAGAAAAATTTTGTTTGGTCCAAACAAACTATTTAAATTCATAGTATTCCTGGAGTTAGGTGTAGCACCATCCCTGCAGCTTGGTCATTTGGGTTTTCTCTTCTGCTCCTGAACTCCAAGAACACTCTCAGCCCCTCTGACATACCTGGTTGAATGAAAGTTACTGCAAGCACTTATAAGAGGACGAGTATAGATACATTTAATTCAGGTGTGAACAAGCAGCAGGAAATAGAAGGTAGGTTCAGACACAACCTGCTACACAGTATACTCACTATGCCAAAGTAACTTAGAATAGAGTTCTATACCACTAAACTGGAATCAACACATAAATCAGCAAAGTAAGCAATAAACACGTGATCATTAACTGCAATGTGAATAATAATACTATAACTAGTGTAGAGTGCTCTGTATGAGAATGGCTCAGATAGGATGCAATGCCCCCTGAGAGGTACCTCTTAGAATAAGCAATACGTAAAGGTCTCTGTGTAGCAGCTGTAAAGGGACAGTTTTTAGTCCTAAGCAGGGGCGGACTGACCATTTGAGCACTCGGGCACTGCCCGAGGGCCCAGGGTCAGAAGGGGGCCCAATGAGACGCCCCTGGTACCTTTTATTGGCTTTTTTCATAGGCTTTTTGTATGGGTGAGGACACAGGGGCCCCATGATCCCCTATTGCCCCATGAGTTGTCAGTCTGCCCCTGGTCCTAAGTCTTCAGCTGCCTGTCTTTACCACCCCACAACCACCTGTGTGTGTGTGATAGAGCCCTTGGTGTTTCAAGTTATTAGAGACTGTAGAGAATCTATTATATGAAATTAGTCTAATTACCTGTAATGATCAAATGTAGTGCTACATTTTTTTTAAACTTTAAAGAGAAACAAACTTACTTTTTTTTTTACAAAACATTTACAAAATGTGTTACATTAATCCAGTGTTTCGCAACCTTTTTGCCCTCGAAGAACCCTTTGCAAAAAGTTTGAGATCTCGGGGAACCCCTGAAAAAAAAAATTTCAGATCTGCAGCTCACGGAATATTGAATCTGATCAGTGAGCTGTAGATGAAGCACATGGATGGCTGAGGAGGTGGTATTCAGTGTATGGCAGTGCTGAATGCAAGGGGGGGGAGCAGGGAGTGGGAGCTTGTGGCTGGATGAGGCTGACTGTAGCAGGAGGTGAGATCATAATAGCTTTATGTACAGTACATTTATGGCATAATAACAAAAAGCTAATATCATCTCACCTCCTGCTACATTCAGTGTAATCCAACTGTGTGCTCCCGCTCTCTGCAGTCTGCAACACTACTGTCATACACTGGATGTCACCTCCTGCCTCCTTTCTGCCTCTCCTCCAGCACTCTTACCTCCCACACAGATCTCACCTCCCATACAGCCACATGCTCTGCCGGCTCTCTGTTTCCTCCTCCCCGCACTCTTCAATACCACGGCTGTAACAGGATCTCGCCTCTTGATCCAGCCATGTGCTCTGGCATCTAGTGGCTCTCTACCGTCCTCCCTCCACCACCCATTGCACTCTGTGTCTCTGTAGATGTAGGATCTCACCTCCCAAAGCAAGCCACGTGCTCCCGCTCTATGCTCAGCGCTGTCACAGAAAGCCGCCACCTCCTTCTTCAGCTCCTGCACTCTGCACTACCCATATGGAAGAAAAATATATTTTAAAAATATTCTTCCCAAACATATTGATATATATTTGAAATGCTACAATGTTGGCCATATTCAATATACTTATTTATTTCAAGTACTTATATAGCACCACCAATTTACACAGCACTTTACATATATATTGTACATTCACATCAGTCCCTAACACTCAAGGGGTATACAATCTAAGGTCCCTAACTTACATTCATACATACATATAGTAGGGCCAATTTAGACAGGATCCAATTAACCTACCAGCATGTCTTTGGAGTGTGGGAGGAAACCAGAGTATCCAGAGGAAACCCATGCAGGGACAGGGAGAACATGCAAACTCCAGGCAGGTGGTGCCATGGCTGCGATTCGAACCAACGACCCTAGTTCTGCCAGGCAGAAGTGCTAACCATTTAGCCACTGTACTGCCCACTTCAAAATATATTTCAATATATATGTATACTGCATGTTGAAATGCGTTTTTATTACAAAATATATGAAAAATATTTTTAAAAATACATTTCAAATATACTGTATGAATTTAAAAATACAAATCTACATTTATGGAATGCATTTACAAATATATGTAAAAATATATGTTAAAATTACTTTTTTATTTGTTAAAAAACATCTGAAGAATATATTTAAAAAATATATATTTTTAAAAATATTTTTCATATATTTTGTAATAAAAAAACGCATTTCAGCATGCAGTATATATATATATATATATATATATAAATATAGAAATAGATTTAGAAATATATTGAATATGGCCAAATTTGTAGCATTACAAATAGATGTCAATATATTTGGGAATATTTTTAAAATACATTTCAAATATATTTTCTTCCATGCGGGTACTCCTGGTCCTGCTCTTTATAGGAGCCAGAACTATAGAGAAGGCATTGGGTATCAATGTGCGCTGGCACTACTGACTGTCAGCGTGCAATGCGAACAACCCTGGAAACAACATTAGGCAGTATACGTCCGCCATAATTTTGTTTCACGGTGGAACACCTGGGGACTTCTCACAGAACCCTAGAGTTCCGCGGAACACCGGTTGGGAAACACTGCATTAATCTGATCCCTTTCAAATATACATCTAAAACATTTTAAATACTTTGGTTCCCATTTTACCTTACTGTACCAATATTTGTAACTTTTTCTTTACTGAAGTATAAAGAAACACTTACAACAGGTCAGGCAGCACATGTAGTTATATAACAGAGCAAGAAAGAACCCAACATTTTAGATGTACAGCTTATGTTGATTATATATGTTTGCTAAATGATGGATAATGTGAACAAGGTGCTTGGTTTGAATTTATTAGCTTTCTGCTGTAAACCATTGTAAACCATTGATCATCTGCAGATCACATTTTTTTTGCTAGTAATATGTTTTGATTTTATGTAGATTGTCAACTTATTTAAGTACTACAAATTAAATCTGAATCAATTAAAGTATTCTTAAACTGAATTAGTTGCCCATTGTTGACGCCTTATTATCATGTAGGAGAAATTAAACAACGAAAAGAAGGGAAACATAGAAATGAGTGAGACAAAGGGTATTAAATATCTAGAACCAGGATCATCGATAATTTCAAGGGCACGAGATGTTCAAAACAACCAAAGCTTCATTATTTTAGCTGTTTACATTCACTTCTGTCTTTATTCACTTCTGTACAGTATGCACTATGTGATGAATGAGCTGATGAATGAATGAATATAATGCTCGTATTTTAACCAATAGCCGCCCGGCCAATAGCCGTTTGGCGGCCAGGAAAAGGCTGTAGATTTCCGGGTGGACACCATATGGCGTCTTCCCGCACATGCACAGTTTTCGCGCTTGCAGAGCCGCGCAGCGCGATCTGTCCCCAGCCATGTACCTCGGACACGGCCAATGACAGATCTGAGTACTGGCCCCCGTTGCCAGTACCATGTGACCTGCTGTGACCAATCACAGCAGGTCACATGACAGCTGTATACAATGGATGGCTTCATTCATGCCATCCATTGTATACTAGTGTCTAGCTGTGAATGGTCACAGCGATCACATGCACATGTCATGTGATTAGCTGTGGCCAAATCACAGCTAAGCACAAAAAAAAAAAAAAAACCCTGAATGAATCGATGTCATTCAGGTAAATGCTTGCTTATAGCAAAGTAATTCTTTGCTATAAGCAAACTGTGTAAAAAAAAAAAAAAAAATACTGATCATTTCCCCAAAGTAGTACAATGTTACTATGGTAATATTGTACTACTTTGGACATAGTGAAATATGAAAAACAAATCTTAAAAAAAAGAAAAAAAAATGTAATAAAAAATTTAAAAAAATACAAATAAAAAAAATATATATATATATATTTTTTTTTCATACTGTCACCAGTCAGTGTCCCTGATCACCACCATGCCAGTTATATGATGAAGCTGTACTGAACTGGTGATAATATGTAAAAAAAAATTGTGAAAATTATTTTTTTAATTTTTTAATTTTCCGAAAAATTATGACAAAAAAAAAACAACTTCAAAAAATTTACCATGCCTCTTATGAAGTACGTCGGACTGTCTACTCTGCAAAAAGGGGTCATTTTGGGGATATCTGTACTGTTCTGACATTCTTGGACCTCAAGAAATTAGATTGGCCGTCAGTACTTCAGGGTTGATCAATATTCAGATCTATACCATAGTTTGTGAACTCTATAACTTTCCTACAAACTAAAAAATACATCCTAATTTGGGGTATCTTCACTAAAGACATGTAGTAGAATACATCTTGGCCTAAATTTATGAAGAACAATTATTTATTTGCAAATTTTTATAACACAGAAACAAAGAAAAACGTGTTTTTTTTTTTTCAAAATTTTCGGTATTTTTTTGTTAATTTAGCAAAAAATAAAAACCCTGGTGGTGATTAAATACCACCAAAAGAAAGCTCTAGTTGTGTGAAGAAAATGATAAAATGTTAGTTTGGGTACAGTGTTGTATGACCGCGCAATTGTCATTCAAAGTGTGAGAGCGCTGAAACCTGAAAAATGGCCTGGGCAGGAAGGGGTAAAAGCAGTTAAAAAGATAGGATTTGTATTGGCTTAGGCCCTAAGCCAGCCTGCATGTGACACCACTATGACATGGTGAGAGGCCACACAAGCGCTGGACTTGGCATTGTGTATTAAGGTGGGGAAAATAGTGAATTAAAGCGACACAAACTCTTGTTTAAAAGAGAAATAAGATTCAAGTACTGCGGACACAGTACAGGAGATGACCAGAGACTGCGGACATACTACAGGAGATGACCAGAGACTGCGGACATACTACAGGAAACGACCAGAGAGACTGCAGACACAGTACAGGAGATGACCAGAGACTGTGGACATACTAAAGGAGATGACCAGAGACTGCGAACACAGTACAGGAGATGACCAGAGACTGTGGACACAGTACAGAAGATGACCAGAGACTGCAGACATAGTACAGGAGATGACCAGAGACTGTGCACACAGTAAAGGAGATGACCAGAGATTGCGGACACAGTACAGGAGATGACCAGAGACTGCAGACATTGCACAGGAGATGACCAGAGACTGCGGTCACAGTACAGGAGATGACCAGAGACTGCAATGTACTACAGGAGATGACCAGAGACTGCAGACATAGTATAGGGGATGCCCAGAGACTGCGGACACAGTACAGGAGATGACCAGAGACTGCGGAGACAGTCAAATAGCACTAAATTTATACTAAGACTGTGATTATAAGGATGCAAACTGGATATATAATTAGCTATAGAGATGCAGGACAATGACGGTGCAAATGAACAAATTTGCACCAGAAGAGTATGGTCAAGTGCAACACTGATTCAAGGGGGAGAGACTTGGTAGCAGGTCAACTACCTCTGGACTACTGAAACCCTGAGCGAGTCGTCTGCTGTAAAACTAGTGGAAGAACGGAGGTCCCCTTCAGGATGTTCACAGCTGTCAATGATAATATAAGGACAGTTCAGATTTGGGTGGGAGGTGGTACTTTCACTAACACGTAGGGGACCATAAACAAGATGTCAATCTTTAGGGATCCATCATGCTAGGAAAATGTGTGACTAAAGTAATGGAGTAAAGATTCCTTGAAAGTATCCTGTAATGGAACCTCAGCAGACCACACTTGGGTATTTCCGTTATACTCCAGCTTCCCTGTCCGAAGACAAATCCACGGACACCACCGCCGATCATGCAGGAAATAGACAGCACTAGACTCTTCTTAAGACAGGAAGTCAACTCCTTTATTTTAACAGAAACATAAGATATATGCACAGGGCGGGGAAATACAACCAGGAACAGGAAACACATCACAGGCCATCCCATCAGGAGGGAAGGGCTGCCTGAAACACTCCCCCACCAAACCAAAACACACAATAGAACAATGGGATACACCACCTGGCAGTAGACAATAGGGGAACACAAGCATCCCATAATAGTTGCTGGCAAGCAAGCCACAATAGAACAATGGGGCAACCACCTGGCAGTGAACAATGAACAACCCCCACACCCAACCTATACATGTCTACACAATATCAGGTCAGAGCACCCTGTACCCCCTAACAGGCACAGGGTGCCTTTACACATAAGAGGGATTTGGGGAGATGATACAGGGGTCCCCCCACCCCCAAAAGTCACTCCCGTCACACATCCCGATTACGTTGTCTGCATACAATGTCCAGCAAGAACAAGATAAGTGGTACAGGCTCCTTGATCCAGCTGAGTAGAAGAATCATAATCAAAAAAGTCGAGTATCTGGCTGCTCATCCCTAAATGAATATATATGCCAAAAGTCCCCCCAGTGGGACTTTATATTGCAGCATTGAAAAATGACATATATATCCAGGATAACATTTTGATAAAAGAATTATCAGCTTTATTACATACACATATTTGTATAAAATAGATACATTTTAAAGGAACATCACTCTGACAATATTCTTACAAAAAAACTCTTTGCACAAGGCCAAAGACCACTCGGAAAGGAAGAGAAAGTTAACTGACGCATTTCGATCATTCCACATTTCAGATCTTTTTCACCTGCTTTAACCCCTAGAGCCCTGCGTTAGCACACTGCAACTGCATGTACTGGTTGTGGGGTGCTTGCAGAGCAGCTCCATTCACTTGAATAGGACGCGGTAAACAGGCTCTGTGCCCACAGAGAGCAACTGCGAGTATCATTTCTGCCACGGCCAGAAAACAAGATATCACAGTGGCAGCATGTGTGCACCCCAGCCCTGTGTTGCCAACTATCTGTAAATTTATAGACGGTTTGTAAAAAACAACCATTTCTCTCCTGTTCATAAATGTCTGTGGACTGGAGGAAAGTGCCTGTAAATTATACCCTGGTCGTCAGCTCTAAACGGTGAATGCACTGTTACGGAGCCAGCCTATTAGAGAACAGCCGGGCTTGGCCTAAGATCGGGCAGCAGGGCAGGTCTATGTGTGTGCACACACCCCACCACATGAGTTTAGGCTGAGCCCAGTAGTTCATTGATTGGTTGGCTGCATGTGCAGTTCAGAGCTGACAACAAGGGTTTTTTTTAAAGCCTTTTCATGCCATCCATCAGTCAGTGGGGAAGGTATGTGTAAAGGGGCACTCTGCAAGACTCTGATGAAAGGGGCGGTACTCTTCTGTAAGGTGGGACTCTGATGTAAGGGGGTACTCTACTGGACTCTGATGTAAGGGGGCACTCTGCTGGACTCTGATGTAAGGGGGCACTCTGCTGGACTCTGATGTAAGGGGGCACTCTGCTGGACTCTTATATAAGGGGTGGTACTCTACTGTAAGGTGGGACTCTGATGAAAGGGGGAACTCTGATGTAAGGTGGTGGTCCTCTAGGGACTCTTGACGTAAGGTGGGATATTGGTGACACGGATGTAAGGGTGACTGTGATGTATACGGGGAATGCTGGGGACTTTGAGGTAAGGGAGGACTCTGATGTGAATGTGGTACTCACCCTGACTGCTGCACTCTATATGTTTTGTTTATCACTTACTCTTGGCCCCTGTACTATATTATGCTTGTATATTATACATGAGGGGGCTTCAAAAAGTTTCCGCACTTTTATACATATTTATATATATATATATATATATATATATGTGTTTTAAAAGTGCAGAAACGTTTTGAAGAACCCTTGTACATAGGTGTTCATTGACACAACTGTTGCTGGTTTTAATGAAATTCTTCTTAAAAAAACGTTCAGTAAGGCAGCCCATTCACCAGTCATTTTTTTTTTTGTTCAACCAGCGAGTTGAACAAAAAAAAATTGACTTGATTCCCCCATACACACATTTGACACTGCCCTGCTAACCAACTGTACTCTGTCCTATTGACGCCTGTTTCTCTATACTGTCCTGCTGACCTCCCTTCCCCTGGCCTCCTGACATTTTTTTACTGCACCCCCACATCAGACTGGCTAGATCTGGCCCTGTTACTAAGAGTACAGTCTGTGAAACAAAAAATGAATTAGCCTAGCCCTAGATCAATGCATTCAACCATGGGCTAAAATCCTTACTTTAAGCCCTCTTGCACATGGGAGTAAAAATATGCCACTTTTTTTACTAAACTAAACACAGGTTTATTCTTGTCTATGGAACAATGCATCCAGCTGTGTAAAGATCAGTAATACAGTGATAAGTACAGAGCTGTAAAATAAAAATAGAAAATATTACGTTTGCGTACAATAATTCACATGCATCTATACACGTATGTGCCTGCTTCCGCCTCTATACATGCAGCGACTCCTAAGGGGCTAGTCCTAGTAATTTTTTAAGACCGACATGTTCATGTTATATAGACTGCTTTCTAACTTGCTATTATTTAGGTTTCTACCAAAATTGCATGTTTTCTAAACTTTAACTTTAAAGTCCAACAATTAAAGCTTCTGTTGGGGTTTATTGTTGTTAGTGCGCCCACTGGGGAGATTTCTCTCACTTCTGATCAGGACAAGAAGTGATAGGAAATCTCTCCAAGGGGGGAACCAATAAAAACACAGTGGCTAAATGGTTAGCACTTTGGCCTGGCAGTACTAGAGTCATTGGTTGGAATCCCAACCACGGCATCACCTGCCTGGAGTTTGCATGTTCTCCCTGTGCCTGCGTGGGTTTCCTCCAGGTGCTCTGGTTTCCTCCCACACTCCAAACACCTGCTGGTAGATTAATTGGATCCTGTCTAAATTGGCCCTAGTATGTGTATGAATGCAAATTAGGGACATTAGATTTTACACTCCTTGAGGGTTAGGGACTGATGTAAATGTACAATATATGTAAAGCGCTGTGTAAATTGACGGCGCTATATAAGTACCTGTAATAAATATACATGTATATTACAACACTGGCAATTAAAAGAGGATAAAGATTTTTACACAAGGTCTTTACAGAACATTTTACTCAAGATCTTTTTGTCACTAAGATCCTGAGCATAAACATCAGTAAATGATGACAACCGGCCTACAAATGACATTAGTGGAGGAGTACCTAGACCAGCGTTTTTCAACCACTGTGCCGCGGCACACTAGTGTGCCGTGAGATATTGTCTGGTGTGCCGTGGGAAAAATTCCAATTTCATCTGTAACATGTGGCTTCGGCTCACAAATAGACCAATCATTAGAATCTAATGATTCAGTGGTCGGCAAGCCGCGGCTCGCGAGCCACATGCGGCTCTTTACCCAGTCTAATGCGGCTCTTCTGTGTGCCGGGCGCCTGCTCCCCTCCCTCCTCTCGGTCGGCCGCTCCCCTGCCTCCTCTCGGTTGGCAGCCCCAAAAGTCCGCGCGGACCTTTTAATCCGGCTTGCGGATGTGGCTGTCAGGATGTGTGTAGGCGGGGCAGCGTGCCGAACGTGAGGGGAGGGGAGCTAGGCTCCTCTCACAGTCCGCCCTGAAGACCCGAACGGCGCGGGAAGACAGCGAGAGGAACGCAAAAGGTAAGTGAATTGACACGGGGGACTTGGCTTACTAGAAGGGGGGGGGGGGAATAGTACTGTGGGGGATGAAATACTATATGAGGGATGAATTACTTTATGAGGGATGAAATACTATATGGGGGGATGAAATACTATATGGGGGATGAATTACTATATCAGGGATGAATTACTATATGAGGGATGAAATACTATATGGGGGGATGAAATACTATATGGGGGGATGAAATACTATATGGGGGGATGAATTACTATATGAGGGATGAAATACTATATGGGGGGATGAAATACTATATGAGGGATGAAATACTATATGGGGGATGAATTACTACTATATGAGGGATGAATTACTGTATGAGGGATGAAATACTATATGGGGGGATGAAATACTATATGAGGGATGAAATACTATATGAGGGGATGAAATACTATATGGGGGGATGAAATACTATATGGGGGATGAAATACTATATGAGGGATGAAATACTATATGAGGGATGAAATACTATATGAGGGATGAATTACTATATGAGGGATGAAATACTATATGGGGGGATGAAATACTATATGGGGGGATGAAATACTATATGGGGGGATGAATTACTATATGAGGGATGAAATACTATATGGGGGGATGAAATACTATATGGGGGGATGAAATA